ATTTAATGAATGTGTGGTTGAAATGAATAGAAAGAAAAATTTAATGTAATGTAATTTAATTTAATGGGGGCCAAACAAGGGCTTTACTTATTTAATGAGGTACAGAATTTTGTACATTGGATGACGGATTATTTTCTAGATGACTTACTATTTTCTAATATTATTAAAGCCGATCGTAATTGAGCTTAGACTAACGCGCATTTAATATATCTTAGATAATTAAATAAATTTTACGTCAGACATCTATCAGCAAATGCCATTTATATATTTTTCAAACATTGTTATATAATATAGTTAAATATATAATAAAAAAATAAATTTAAATTTGGTCAGTCCTTTAACGACTGCGACATGACTGACCCCTAAATTTTGTACTAACAATTTTCTACGTCCCTCCAAGTTTCTTGCCGGATTTTACCTTCTTGCTAGGTCAGGCTGGAAGGTTGTATAATGGAGGAGCCCATGTGAATGCAAGAATCAGAATCTTACTAGAAAAATAGGTTGGAATCCACAAAGACAATCAAAGTCTCAAGAAGAGATTACATGCAACTAGAAGATTAATATTTTTTGAAAGTCCATTCCCGTTAAGCAATTGCCCTAAATTAATCTAGCAATTGGGTCATGATTAGAAATTAGTGACCGTTCGAGTACGATATATAACTCGGATCTTTTTCAAAGTTCACGTCAATAGAATAATCAAATTATAACGAGAGAATACTGCGTCACTCTTCGGGCGCCTCTACACCATTGCCGACGTGTTGGCTCCCTGTTTTATTAAACAACTCGCGACGCCTAAACAAATACCTTTTAAAGATGTTTTTCTTCATTTTAAAGTCTTATTCAAGTCCAATACAAATTTCAACTCTCTATTGAGCTTTCAAGTAGAATTTCAACTAGAATTCGTCAAGTAAACTTGAATATGATTCCACAATAGGTCTTCTTAATATGCACTTTAATTAGAATTCCCATTTATCTAGGATAGAGATAGTCTAATTCCTCGTTTGATAGTCATTATTTGATGAAAACAAAGTTTTAAATAGTAAATTTTTGGAGAATATATGTTTAGAAAGTGGAGAAAATTTTGGATTTACGTGCAAAATATTTTATTGTACAAATATAGGTTGAAAATGAGCATGTATAAGAGTTTTGAAATAATGATTGTCAAACCGGACTAATTCTCTAAAAAAGAGAAAACATGCAACTAAGTTATGGTTAGATATCACAGTGATTGATTGAGTGGATACTATAGAAGGTGTCCCCACAGAACTCAAGCGTGGTGCAGGTCTGTGGTCAAATACCCCATTGTGTTGATTTATTCTCTGTGTCTGAATCCTAACTTTCTATTGTTTATATAAGTTCATTTGTTCAACTTGAGCTGAATTTATATTTCTTCACTTTTCATTTCCTCCATGGCTAAACCCTTGTGTTCCTTAGGTCTTCTTCTCTTTTTCTGCAGCCTTTTCTTGAAATCTGAGTCCTTTGACTTTGTATGCAATGGATTCAATGAATCAAGTCTTAACCGATATGGATCTGCCATAATCAAGGGTAAAGCATTAAAACTTACTGATAGATCCCAGAATGTAAAAGGCCATGCATTTTATCCTAATAAAATTCCTATGTTCAAAAACAGTAGCCATGGTGTCTCTTCATTTAGCACTCATTTTGTTTTCCAAATTGTCCCTTCCGATGCTGACAGAGGGGGCTATGGCTTCGCCTTCATATTATCCCCGTCGACGCAACTTTCTGGGGCCGACGGGAGACAATACCTAGGAGTCATCGACTCATCAAAAGATGGAAACTCTTCAAACCATATTTTCATGGTCGAGTTCGACACGGTTAATGGATACAATG